GGTGACATTTGAGCAGAGATTGAGAAGGAGAAGGAATGGATATTGCATGAGGGCTGGGGACAGCAGGAGCCAGCCAGTGAGGAAGAAGGACAAGCGTCCAGGCCCTGAGGTACACGGCTTGACTAAGGACCTGACTGTAACTGATTGATCTAGCTGTGGGCAGAATTTCTCACCGAAGCAGTTTATGAACTGTTGGATCTATTGATCTCATTTTTCAATATCATCGTAAGAGCTGTAATTTATGTGCCATGCTTTGCTAAACACCCTATGTATTTTACTTCTAATTCTCACATCACTGCTGCAAGTTAGGTCTGTTCCCATTTTAAAGATGGAGAAACTGAGGCTCTGTGCTCGCTCTCAGTAACTTCGACCTAGTAGCTCTAATGCACTCCATTGGGAAAGTAGGCAGCTCACAGTTGATGGTTATATGCCCGAGCTGTATGTGTTAGGCCCATTGCATCCTCGTCTACAAAAATATCCTGAAGACTAACGTGATAAAATTGCACCTAACACTGCACGGTCAGGCCTAGTCTGTTTGTGTACTTAAACTTGAGAAGGAAAGGTGCTGTAGGCACGTTGCAGGAACAATTTCTTCATTTGAAGTCACTCATCGAGCATCCCTCTTTAAACTTGCAGAATTTGCCGAAACCAGTTTGGCTCAATGGATAGAGCGTTGGCTTGGGCACTGAAAGGTCCCAGGTTTGATTCCGGTCAAGGGCATGTACCTTGGTTGCAGGCAAATCCCCAGTGAGGGGTTTGCAAGAGGCAGCTGATCGATGACTCTCTTTCATCGATGTTTCTAACTCTCTATCTCTCTCCCTTCTTCTCTGTACAAAATCAATAAAATATATTTTTTAAAAATAAATAAGTAAATAAATAAACTTGCAGAATTTTAGAACCTGTATGCCTATAAGCATAGCCCATGGACACAGACAATAGTGTGGTGAAGGCCTTAGGCGGGGGTGCGGCAGACTAACAGGGATCAATTGGTGGGTAAAGAGAGCACACATGTAATACTTTCAGCAGTGAAGATTTTTTTTTTTTTTTAAAGCTTGCAGAATTTGAAAGTAGGACAATGTCCTTTCCTTTGCTAGTCCTTACAATCTCTAATTCTTAGCATAGACCTTTCAACAGACAAAACTGTTTACTCTAGCACCTTGGAAATGTATGTTCTGAGTTGACATAAACTTTGTACGTTTTTCCAAGAAAGGAATGCAAACAGCGGAAGAGGATAGAGGGTGTTCCCCTGCAGAGGAAGGGCACGGTCAGGGAGATTTCAGTAAGCAAAAGCCGTGATTGTGTGTGTGTGTGTGTGTGTGTGTGTGTGTGTCTGCACCAAAATGCCCACATGGTTCTTCCAACAACCCTTCCCTGTCAGCATCATCGGGCATTTCCGGTCCTCCAGCATGTGGGGCCCTGGGAGGGCCCTCGCTCTCTATAGCTCTCAGAGAGGCCTTCGAACAAGGGTGGAATTGTGTGTTGCAGTCGCTGATTCCAACTGCCCAGAGCCCCTCCACAAAGATTTCCAGTCTGTAGTCCCTTCCAGGGGAAAGGGCACGCTCCAGCTCAGAGAGCGCTGTGTCTCCCACACCCAGCTCCTCCCTCCCACTTCCTGCCTTCTGACAGCTGAAGGTTTTAAGTGCCCTTTTTTAGCACAGCTCTTTAAAAATGTAAATGCAACTTGAAGACAGGGCACAAAAGCCAGCTCCCTGCTCTGCCAGGTAGGGCTGGTGTGCAATGGGATGGGACCCAGGTGATGCCAGGATGAGGCCACTCACGTCACAGACGCCGGCCATCTGAGAGCTCGTGTTCTTGATGTTTGTGATTTTCAAGTTTTCTGTTTATAAAAGATTTGGTTCTCAGAGCTACTGACAGGTAATAATAACAAAACTGAAACAGATTTGAATTTTAATTTTGTTACCAACTTACTACAGTTGGGGAAGGGTTGGGGGAGGATTGTCCAGGGCTCTTGAGCTGGTCTGAGGTTTTCCCACAAGGCACAAGACACCACTCCCTCCTTCAGGGTCGGCCAGGGTTGGTGTGGGTACCAAGGCAAAGCAACCAATGCCGTTTCTCTTCTCCTTCGTGCCGTAACTGTGGTCATTCCAGAGGAGCCAATGTTTGGAAAATGCAAGTTGCAGTCTTAAATTTACACAGACATTTCCATAGATCTGTTCCTCCACAGGAGGCACTTGTCTATGGTCCTAGTCAACATGGAGGGTCTGCAATGCACCTTCTACTGCATAACCCGTTTATGGAGTTGGAGACGCTGCTTTATCAATGAGTGCACCGGTTCGCCTGAGTGTGGTCTGTCTGTCTGTCTGTCGTTGGGCCAAGTCTTCCTTGTGGATGAGGGGCCTCTGAACCCCATCCCGGGCCTTTACATGGAAGTGAGGCCTGAGTTAGATAGAAGAAGGGAAGGGGCTCAGGTGTCTGCCATGGAAGTTTTATTCGGGAGCGTGCACTTGTGGCCTGTCTTGGGGGCCAGGCTGTGGAAGGAGTCCCTGACACCTGCCAGGTCACAGTTTAGGACCATAGTCCTCCCCTGTCAGCTGCAGGAAGGAGGTCCCTATTCCTCTGCCAGGGACTAAACAGGCACGCGGTTTAATAGTCATAACAATGCCAGCAGCTCCTATGTATTGACTGCCTGCCAGGCACTGTATTTTTTTCCACTTCATCCTGATCATGACCCTCCGAGGCAGAGACGATGATTATCCCCAGGAAACCAACGCCCCATCATGTGCCGATGTCGCACAACAGCGTGTGGGTCCCCATGAACACCGGAACTGTGTCCTCTGTCCTTCCTTTTGAAAACTCCATGAGCCCTGCCTTTCCCCTCCGCTGAACGCCCCGTGTCCACTTGCAGGGCTACCCCTGGGCCTATGAGGAGGGCCCCACCTGGCAGGTGGGCTTCTGGCATCGCGTTGCTGTGTCCGGATGTGTCCTGCCTCCCACACTCAGGGTCTGTGAGGTCTCCTTTCTCACTCTTCACCATGTGGCCCGGAGCGTGTCTCCTGATGGGTCCCCATTGGCTTGAGAGGTGTCTCAGCGAGGCCATCACTGTGGGGTGACTGCTGAGCACACTATTCTCTTCTCAGAAACGTCGTTGCCCAGCTTCTCTGCCCAGGAGGCCTTTTCTTGCATCAAGGGAACCCGCCTGGCGACCACACTGGGGTCAGGCACTCCTCAAGTAGCAGCGGGGGGAGTTGGCAATCAGCCGGTGGAGGAAACGAAAATATACCCTGTTGAATGCCAGGCACTATGGGATCACCTTACGACTATTAACTCATTTAATCTCCAGCAACCCTGTGAAGTAGCGACTGTTGTTAATGTCATTGCACAGGTGGGGAAACTGAGGCCCAGGGAGGTAACTTCATTGAGATCCCAGTGCTAGTAAGTTACCCTTCAGCTCAGATGGCCCAATAATTTACCACAACAACAGTTAAGTATTAGGAAAATGGGAAATACCCCCAATATACAGATAGTGTGACAAAGAAACATGTAATACCCTTGATAAATAGTTTTATGCAAAATTATTATATTCTTTAAGTTGGAGAGGCTTTTATGAATAAGTTCTAGTTATTTAGAAAATTCTGTTTTTGAAGGAATATCCCCTCCACCCCCCCCCAAAAAAAATGAAACATATAGTGTGTATTTTAAAAGAAAAAGGACAAAGGATGCAACCAGTGTGAATGGTGACGTTTACAAAGCTCTTGTCTGCAACATTGTGATGCGGGCAGGTATTCTGTTCCTGCGATGGACAGATAACAGACCAGGAAGCCGTGGGCTTCGACCGAGGCAACCCAGCCAGGTCAGCTGTGGAGCTTAAACCCCAGTCCTCAGGGCGCCTTCGTAGAGTGGAAAGAAGATGAACTATGTTCATGTGTCACAATTGCCTAGAGTCCGCAAGCAAAGGAATCAAAGGCATTGCTGTCTTTCTAGAGCAACCCACACATACCAAACACAGTCTTAAGCTGTGTTAGAGTCATTGAGGCCTTGTTGTTGGTTTTTGGTTTTTTTTAATCCCGTTTTAATTTAGAATGGATTAAAACTCAGACATCCCTGGATTACCTCATCCCCTTCTGTAAAATTATAAATTCCAGGCACCGAGATGCAGCTATCAAATGTGAGCTGCTGCGCCAAAACCGGTTTGGCTCAGTGGATAGAGCATCGGCCTGCGGACTGAAAGGTACCGGGTTCGAGTCCGGTCAAGGGCATGTACCTTGGTTGCGGGCACATCTCCGGTGGGGGTTGTGCGGGAGGCAGCTGGTCGATGTTTCCCTCTCATCGATGTTTGTAGCTTTCTGTCCCTCTCCCTTCCTCTCTGTGAAAAAAATCAATAAAAAATATATTTTAAAAAATCAATTAAAAAAAAAAAAATGTGAGCTGCCCTGGCCCCAGCGAAAAGCGGCCTGTTCATTGTCCATTTCCGTGTCTCTTGTTCAGGAGAAGTTGGTCTCCTGCATGGAGCATCCTTGCGATACTCTCTCGGTGAAAGGCGGAGGCCTGTGTGGTCGTGTGAGTGCTTACCGAGGGCTTGTTTAGGGCTGGTTAAGATTTCCATGCTTTGCCTTAACCAGTTTGGCTCAGTGATAGAGCGTCGGCCTGGGGACTGAAGGGTCCCAGGTTCAATTCTGGTCAAGGCCATGTACCTTGGTTGCGGGCACATCCCCAGTGGGGTTTGGGCAGGAGGCAGCTGATCGACGTTTCTCTCTCATCGGTGTTTCTAACTCTCTATCTCTCTCTCTTCCTCTCTGTAAAAAATCAGTAAAATACATATTTGAGAAAAAAAAAAAGATTTCCATGCTTTGAGGTCTCTGCAGTGTATAAACCAGTATATACAGTTTCTAAACAGATCGTTCTGACGTATCTATCCTGTTGCCCGGTGGTGCACGGAGACGGGTGCCGACAGAAAACGGATTGGCGAGCAGTGGCTGTGTCGAGCTCTGCTTGGAATTTCTCATCACACATCACACTCACTCTTTCCCTTTCCCCTCCAGGGTCGAGATTACTGTTCGGAGGAAGAGGACATCACATAGCACCCACCTGGCCCTCGGACGGGGCGCTACTACTGTGTAAATAGGTGACACCCCAGTCGAAATCTCTGCAAAGGTCGGTCCTCTTCGCCGGGAACACAGCGCTGTCGCAAAAGAAGATTCGGTTCCATATCCGTACGCCCCACTCAATTACAGTGTTTCCTAACGAACTCGCACAGGGATATTGCTAAAAACAAACACAACACAACTGTCATTGAACTTTCTTTGTTGCTGCTAGTTAAAAACCTGTTGCAACTTCTCACTCCTCTCGTGTCCAGGTGTGCAGCAAAACCCTGCAATCTCACCTTAACGATACTGTCGTTCTCACGGGGGCGCCCCAGCCCGTTTTCTATAAGAGGAGGGCGACCTCGGCTGTCAGACTTCTGTCCTAGAGCGGTCCCCGCTTCTAAGCGTCTCCTCTCCCTCTGTCCTTCCTCCCTGTCTGCCCCAAAGTGGCCCGGAGCCCTGCCTCTCGCGGGCAGGCGGGCGACAGTGCGCTTTGGAGATGGCATGGTTGCCATGGCAAACCTCGGTTCTCTGCTGAGAAAAGGCAGAGGAGCGCTTCTCATCAGTCGATCGATCGAGAGCTATGCTGTGAGCTGACTCCCGGCCCCACCCGGGAGCCACAGCAGGCCGTGTCCCTTACTGGGGCGTCTCAGTCAAGCAGTAAGCTCGCGGCATCGGCTTTGTCAGAGGCAGGTGGACGTGTGATCACAATCATTTCAGGTCCCACCCCTCCCCACCCACCCCACCCCCACTTTTTTTTCTAAGAAAATAAACATTTTACTGTTTTTATGTATCCTTGTCTTCTCCCATTCATCCCGCTCAGTGTCCTCCCAGGCTCCTGGGTGTGGAAAAGGAGCCCCCCTTGGCAGTGGCGCCGAGTCTCGGCCCAATGGCCCCCTCCCCCTCCCTCCCACGGAGAAGCGGCCACACATTAGCTGGGCGGGCAGCCAGTGGCCGGAAGAGATGAGGGGACAGCCCACGGCTTTTTAGGAGGGCCCGAAGCCACCCTGTCCCCTTGGTTTTATTAGCAAAGAAACCATCCTACTGCCTCCTTCCCTCCCTCCAGTGACCCCGGAGCCTGGTCCCGTCCCCCTCCCGCCTCCTCCGTGCAGCCCCGGATGGGACAGTGAGGAAGGGTTCCCTCCCTGACTCCGTAGCCCGTGGACCTCGGAGGAGGCGTCATGGGCGACGTGAACTGTGGTTCGGTAGAGTTTATTTTTCCATATTCTACGAAGAGGATGATCTCTTCCCAAAGACAGAAGTTAATATTTTTAAACAAATGTTGTCACAAGTAAATAGCCATCCAAAGGAGAAAAAAATAACTTTTGTATTTTTTTAACGCCTTTGATAGCTTCCGAGAGGGTCGTCCTCACCACCCCCTGGGGAGGGCGCCCCGTATTCCATGCTGCGCCCACAGTCCGGTTCAAGGCGGTCCCTCAGAAACACAGAAGGGGCGCTGTCCGTCTGTCCGCGTCTCTCTTCGGGGGCTGTGCGTGGGAAGGGCCCCGCCATCGGCCTCCCCCCCCTAAGGCGGGTGGTTCACATGTTCTGGGAACCGAGCGATCACCTGCCAGAGAACAGAATCGGAATCTCAATCTGTTCTTCCCGAGAGGAGGGGCCTGGACTTTGAAATCCGTCCACGTAGCCCGTGGCCAAGGCACCATGAGCTGGTGATGCTGAGGTCCCTCGTCTCCTCGGAGACCCGGGGCGCAAAGGGAAAGGAAGGAAACTCAGTTAAGAGCGATGGAACATGGACTCACACGTTAGCAGCAAACGCCCTGCCTCCTCCCAGCCAGCAGCAGCCATTCTGGGGAGCAGCTGCAGTTGTTACATAAATAGAGAGGCAGCCAACATGCAAGGCGGGCGTTTCATCCTGCTTCAAGCAGGAAAACGCCGGGAGAGTCCAGGCGCCCCAGGGTTTTACGTTCCCTCCCCGTCTATGGTTTTGGCCAAGCAACTGAAATAGTTTTCCTCCATGGTGAGCCAACGGCCGAGCCCCGAGCCCCACCCCACACGTGTCCATGGAGGGCCGTGTGCTCACTGCTCTGCCCATGGCCTGGCCCCGGGATTCCTGTTCTTAAGAAGCCCACGCTCCCTGTCCTCCCTGTCACTCCTCCACGTGGTAGCCCAGGGAGTGGCTTCCCTGGAAATCGCCACCTTCTGCCCGAAGACGGAACCTGCTCGTGTCATTTTGCTGACATTTAACACGTGGACATGACACACGCGTGCACAGCGCCCCGTGTTTCCCAGGAACCTGGCGGGGGGGGGGGGGGGGGGTTGCTGTGTGAATCCAGAAACTCGGACTTTTCACCTGGGGCTCTGTCTTCCGACGTCAGAGCCGGAGCCCTCTTTGAAGCAGGAGAGTGATGCTATCGCAGACACGTTCGGTTCGGCTGGAAATAGATCTGAGGCCGGGGTGGCTGAGCGGGCTGGCCAGAAGTGCTGGATGATGTCAGCAGCACGCAGAGCTAGCTGCCTGCTTCCCATTTGTCGGTTTTCAGTCATAACATTGTCAAGTGATTTGTGATTGTACGTTATTTTGTTTTTATGCCTTCTGGAAGGGTCGAAAGCAAAAAATAGTTTGCCTTTTTCCCCCCCTCCCCCACCCCTGCGTATCTGAAGCTGATTGTCTCAGATACAATGAAAAGAATAATCTAGAAGCTTCTGCTGGCTGTGATCTCTGAGGCTCAGGGAGAAGGAAGGAGGAAGGGAGGGGGGGAGGACGGGAAATGGCCTGGCGGGCAAGGCAGAAGGATGAGGAATGGACTGAGAGCATTGAGGAGAGAGGGCGGAGGGAATGGCCCAGCGCCCAGCGGCCCAGCGCCCAGCGGGCGGGGTGGGCTGTCGGCAGGATTTACAGCTGGATGACACGGGGCCCTGTGTGCTCCGAGCTGCGGAGTTGTAAAAGCTCAGCGGTGAATGGGGACTTTCTTTGGGTTGGTGGGGACGCAGGGCCACTTAGTACCACTGTCCTCACTGAATGCGTGCTTGTTGCTGGCGGAGAAGCCTGGAGGAGGCTCTGACCTCAGCACTGCCTCCCAGGCCCAGCTCGGGCCCAGAGCGGGGCTATGGGCTCTTTGAGGGCAGAGCAGGTATGAAGTCTAGAGATGAGAAGATGAGGTCAGTCCTCAGAACCGGCCGTGGCCACCCCCGGACCTACGGGGTTCCTCCCATCTGCAGTGCCCGTGGCCTTCGATGACTCGCATAAGAGGCGACCTGGCTGATGACTGGTGCCAGCCTCCTCCACGCTGGGAGGCAAGGGGGCTCCTCGGACAGGGGCTCCCCAGAGTCAGGAGTGGCCACACCTGCAGTCTGACAGCCCCCGGAGGCAGGCCCAGGGAGGAAGGCCCCGCTCTTGGTCCCACGTGATGTCACCCCACTTTGAGTTATAACCTCACCGAGACTTTTTCCCCTCCCAGAGCCAGACTCTTCCTTTCGCCTGTGAAAGACAGAGATGGTACCTCGTACGAATTTTACCTCCGGAGCCTGGGCTGCAGGCTGGCATATTGATGACAAGCCCCCGCTTAGACATCGGGCAAGAATGTAAGAGTGTTTCATCTCTACTCGTCTTAGAAAGCAGCTAGATTTAGAAACGTCCGTTTTGTAGGAAGAACAATTATTCAATTCTTAATCCAGGAAAAGACTGAGTCTGAATCTTGGATGCCAGGGCCCTCATACATGTTTGTTAGGAAAGACAAAACAGATGGGTTCTAAGGCTCTCTCCTTCCTTCTTCCAACTCCCTCATGTAAAAAAAAAAAAAAAAAAAAAAAAAAGTGTTAGGTTGTGCTCTATAATTTTACATGAAAATTCTGCCTCCCGTGCTTTTCCCCCTGGAAGGCATTCTCAGAGCTTTATTTCTTGGTACCTCTCAGAAATGAAACGTTTTGTGTTGCTTAAACCCCAAGACAAAGTAAGGCGTGGTGTGGGGGAGGGAATATAGACTTAAGGGCATAAGGAAAAGGTGACTTCTCAGTGTCCCAACTCCATCCATGGCCCCACACACCTGCGTAAGACTGAGTGAAGCAGTCGGCGCTCACACCGTCCCTGCAATAAACCTTTGGAATTTCCTGACTGAGGTCTATGAACTGATGCCTTGTGCCAATGAAGGGACGTGTTTTTGCCAAGGGGGTGGGGGCGGGGGGGGGGGGAGGAAAAAAGTCCATGGTCCCCTTTCTGTACGTCTCTGGAAAAGGGCCAAGAAAGCTCTGGCGGATGATGAGGATTATAGATGACTATGCTGCCTTTTGTGACAAGCCTTTGGACTCACTAGCCATGCTGTGTTTTCCCAGGGACCCTTGTACCTTATCTGGGATCTAATCTAACCTTGGGGAAAAGAAGAAAAAAGGCACTGCTGTTTATTATTTCTACTCCTGCTGTGCCAGATACTGTGCTAGGCGTTGTATCACCCTCCCAGTGCCCCTGAGCCGGGAACCCGGGCCCCCTCTGTTCTAAGCGGTGTGTCTGTGTGTAGAATGCGTCTATCCCAGCGTCAAGTCCCCTGTCCGAAGGAGGAAAGGTGTCCTTCTGGTATTCTCCCGGTTTCTTTAATATCACTATGCCCTTCGCCAGCACTGTGAAAACCACCCCTCGGGGGCACCTGCCTTCCAGAATCTCTCTTGGGCTCCTCAGCAGCATGGCTTCCCCATGCGGAGTGTCTTACCTAGCCTTCCAGTGTCTGCTGGGCTGCACACACACCAGGAGAGGCCACAGGCTCCTAGGACACGAGTACCCAGAAGGGGAGGGCTTTGGGAATTTGGGCACATGTCTCTCTCCATCGGCACTTTCTCCTCACTCGGAAAAGGAACCCAGTACTTCTGCGGTGACATACCAGGTGCAGCCCGGACAGGCACCTGAGTCTGGGCTCTCTTTCCCTGGTCCCAGGGCCCCCTGACTCACAGCCTGCATCTTTCCAAGGTGAAGGCGTGGACCCTGCGGAGATGTTTGGGAGAATCTGGTCACCAGAGATGGAGGAAAGGCCTGGACCATTGACTTAAAATCCTTTCTTGTGGGCTTAGGGCTGGGTGTTTCTCTTTGATCGTTGAAATGTGGGTCTGTAATTTCCAGGCTGGTTTTAAGCACTGAAACTAGATGTGAATCTCTCACGAGACCGGAAGGGTTTGGGATGGTCCTGTAGTGACTTGGGCATCATTTACATGACTGGCTCCAGGGTCAGCAGAGCCCAGGCACTCCGCAGTTCCTCTCTCTGCTCCTAAAGGCGCATCATCTAAGGACCACTCACGTCCCCAACCTCGCTGAGTGAGCGCGAAGGAATCAAAAGAACTTCCTTTGTAGAGGGGGCCTTGTTGCCAGTTTTCCTGTGAAAACTGCCCCCAAGATTCTGACTCAGATTCATTCAACATGACGTGGGAAATGGCTCTTGTCTCTTGGAAGCCAGAGAAATTGCTTTAATTCAGCAAGATTCACCCCTAAAACCAAAGGCCTCATGCTAACACTATCTTTCCACTCTAACTAACCCAGAATTCGCCCTTCTTCCTTCTCCAGGGGTTCTTTTTAGCCCATGGCTTTGAACTTGACTAAGACTTGGAGGCAGTGCAAAGAGTAAACTCAGCCAGAACTGCCCTAGGGTCCCTGGGGTTAAAAATAGCTGTGGAGCCGGGGTGGGGGCACTTGGCCTCAACCCAGAAGTGACAGAACAGCCCCTGGTTTCCTGCATTTCGGTCCAGACTTTCAGGGACTGCTCCCTCTCTCCACTGCTAGCTCTCCTCCCCTCCCCTCCCCTCCTCTCCCCTCTCCTTCCCTCCCCTCTCCTCTCCTCTCCTCTTTAGATAGTCCAGTGAGCAAAGGAAGTTTTGCAATAGATTTCAAGCCAGCTTTTCTGTTCAAAGCAAGATGCGAATTCATTTTCAAAAAATTGTATCTAATTTTCTGGAGCAGAACCAGGCAGCTGTCTTATTAGGGCTCTAAATTTGGATCTATTTCCTTAACACACACACACACACACACACACACACACAGAAAATGTAACTACTTTGTCATTGAAATAGTTCAAGGAAGAGCTGTCCTTTGCCCTTTCTCATCTCTGAGGTAATGCCTAGGAAAGGATTAGTTAACCAGAGCAGCACCAAAATGGGAAAAGCTAGTGGCCACTCCTGCGAAAGTTTGAGTTAAACTCGCGTAGGGGGGCAGTGGTCTGCTGGTCGTCCTGCCTTGTGGCCCATCTGTGCCAGGATGCCCTGCCACTAGCCTGTTTGCCTCACCCTGGATGCTGTGGCTGGCATCCTTCCTCATCCGGGCACATGAAGGACCCATCCCTCAGATTCCATGCCAGGCCCAGGGGTGTACCACCATGGAGGTTCTCACCTTCTCCCACCGTCCAGGGTGGCCTTGACTGCGGCCTTTCAGCAGCTCCACTGGGAACCCGTGTGGGGGTTAGCGCCCCTCGGTCGAGGTTGTCCCAGGTGTAGCATGTTCAGCATTGCCTCTCCCAGTGCCGAGGACTCCTTCATTCAACGCAGTGTTCCCAGGGCACCTGGTGTCCCCCAGGAACCGAGCTAACCGCCAGCAAAGCACAGTTAAACCAAACACAGGCCCCGCCCTGGAGGAGCCGCCATTGGTCCTGGGGACAGCGCGGGAAGGACCGCAGGAGGGATAAGTACTGGGTGCGTCTCACATGGCAGCTGCCCAGCTTCGGGATCGGGGACTTCCGGAAAGGGGTGACATGGAAGCCCAAGGTGGTCAGAGGACTGCCAGAGAGTGCTGCAATGGCCTCCCAGGCTGAGGGGACAAGATGGGACTAGGGTCTATGTGCATTCAAGTGGCTGCAGCTGGGAGTTGAGGGAGAGAGGGACGAGGCCAGGGCAGACAACCACCATCCAGAAGGCCCTGTGGGCTTGGCTGGGGGCTGAGGAGCATAAGAAGACCTGAGGGTGATACTCTGCCCTGTGCAGCAGAGGGCGCTGCTGAGGTCACCCAGAGAAGTAGGCGTGGTCAGCACGAGGGCCAGGTTTCCCCTCCTCACTGTGGAAGCACACAATGCTTCCTTTTTTAAAATACGTTTTCATTGATTCATAGAGAGAGAGGAAGGGAGAGGGATAGAGAGATGGAAACATCCATGAGACAGGAATGTCACCAATGGACTGCCTCATGCATGCTCCACACTGGGGATGGAACCCACAACCTGGGCAGATGCCCTGACAGGGAACTGAACCCCGACCTCTCGGTTGCCGGGTCACGGCTCAACCCCTAAGACAGACGGGCTGGGCAGAAGCGCAAGTTTCTTGCTGAGATGAGTTATCCCTGTGTTGCCCCCACCCTGTCTCCGTGTCCCCTCTCCAAAAGCTGCTTGAACCCAAGGGCTTTCATCTGGGCGGGGGCTGGGTGAGAGTCACAGGGACAGGCCCTGGGCCCTCCTGGCCTGTCCAGAGAGGCTGGCCTAGATGCCAGGAGGAGCTGAGGGTGCGCCTTAAGATGAATACAGGGGAAGCAGCTGTGACACTTTCATTCATTTCGGCCAAAGGCAGCTGCCCTAGGCCCGTAGTCGGCAAACTGCAGCTTTGCGAGCCACATGCGGCTCTTTGGCCCCTTGAGTGTGGCTCTTCCACAAAACACCACGGCCTGGGCGAGACTATTTTGAAGAAGTGGCATTAGAAGAAGTTTAAGTTTAAAACATTTGTCTCTCAAAAGAAATTTCAGTCCTTGTACTGTTGATGTTGGCTCTGTTGACTAATGAGTTTGCAGACCACTGGCCTAGGACACTTGGCCAGCCTTTCCCTGGGTTAGATCACACCTGGGGGCCGAGGCGCTGCTGTGTCTGGGGCTCACACCTGAGTCCCACCAAAGGGGTACTTTTTAATAAGTGAAGCACAGGTGGGTTATGCCTTGGGAATCACCCACAAGCCTAGGCCTCTGCGTGGGCCCCGTGGGGACAGGGCGGGCCCCGGAGCTCGGGTTTCTGTGTCTTTAGGGTACGAGGCAGGGAGGCTCAGGGACAGGGGAGTCTCTCTGTGCAGACAACTCGCAGTGCCTTTTCGGTTTTCCAAAGAACCTGCTCACCCACATCACCCACCAGACAATAATTATTCTGGAAGGAGAGGGGAAGAATGAGATGAAACAGAATGCTGGCTGTGAGGCGTCCTGGTCTCTAGAAGCTCAAGAAAAGACTGAGAGGCTGGAGGCATTCGGGGCTGGAGGAGCTTTCCTAGCTGAGTGGTTCGGGAACCCCCAAGGGCCCTGAACACCCCTCAGGGCTGACCTTTTAGGCAAGAGCTCCCTCCCCATCACCCCCTTCCCCCCACTACTCCCCACACACACACCCGCCCCTTCTGGGTGTAGCCTGGCAGACTCAGCAGCAACACCAGCTTCTGGACCCTCGGAACCATCTTTGCTCAAACACCCACTCTTTTCCCAGATATTCTTTGGCTCCTTGCTGCGGAATTTCTAATTCTGTGTCTTATCGTTCCCACTCGACTCTCCCAGAAGCCTCTCCCAGGCTTTTTGGTTAGAATTTGACGTGGCGATCGGGATGCTGGAAACGGATAGAACATTTGGCCTCACGCACGCCCACTTTAAGGGCCTTAAGGTCCCTTTGTGGGGGTGGGTTGAAGGTGGTCACAGGATGTGGCCAGCCAGGAGGGCCTTCGGCACCCCCTCCCCATTGCCTGCCCGGTCCGAGTCCCGCCCCACCACCAGGAAAAGCCCCAAAGGGCCGCCCTTGTCAGTGGCTGCGGGTTTGCTCTTCGCGGGGCATTTGTGTTTGATTCAGGAAGGAGGCCTCACATGCCAGGAAAGTCTGGTGGTGGGAGTAGGAGGTCTGAAAGGGGTCTTGTGGGGTGGCTCCTCTGAGCCCCTGCAAAGCCTTCCTCAGGTGGGCATTGGAGCCCCCCAGGGCGGCCTCCCCAGGCCCCGCACACACTTGAACTCTGTAAAGCAGTGGATGCCCATCTGCTTCCATCATGCACGCCGATTGGCAAAACCTCTGAGACGTCCCCCCTCTGTCTGTTACCAGTTATGAAGCCTGTGTTCATACGTCTGCACTAATCTGTTAGGCACATCCTGCAAAGTACTCACATAGCCATTTTAAACAAATAAGATACAAAACAGTATAATCCGAGGTTCTGGAATTTTCTCTCGGAACCCCTGAGGGGGACATGAGGGACCCCCTTGGTGTGTTGCACCCCCACTTCGGACACTGCTGTTTTAAGAGCAAATCAGCACCCCTTCATGGCATCCATCCCCAACCACCGTGCTGGCACTTGGCCTATGGAATAGGGAGGTCTCCCGGCAAAATCCCCGGGAGTCTGTAATCCGGGAGGCAGGGCAGGCAAACTCTCAACGACTGAAATGTCAAGAATGCAAAACCCCGCCGACAAGAGGGCTGTCCCTGGCCGGCAGTGGCTACAGGTGCTAAGGAAGGACCAGGGACGCTGGACAGGGCCCCTCTTTCCTCCCTGGGTCTCCCAAAAAAGGCGTTTGGCAATATCTGCCCCCCCTCCCCTCACAACCGGAAGTCGTTAGCCCTCAAAGTGCACGGGCAGTCCTCTCCCCACAGCACCAGTGGGTCCACGTCGCTTGAATATTATTTTTGATTTGCCCACCGAGATGTAATGATGATTCTGTTCCATTTTGAGAAAATAAAAAAAAAAAAGGTCTGAGAAAGTGTACAGGTCTAATTATATATACATATTTATACACGTGTATTTTTGTTTATTGTTACATTTTGACATTGGACTTTCTATTAAATGATTTTTAACAGTTGACCTGGCTTGGTGCTTTTTTTTTTTTAATGCTTTTCTTCCTTCCTCGGTTACAGGAAAGGAACTGTGATCAATGTCTGGGCAAGAACTTGTGTCTTTGTCCCTCTGGTCTTCTCTCTTCTCTCTTCTATGTGCGTATGGGCTTCTCCTTGCCATTCTTCTAAGTCCGTCTGTTTTCCCAGGATGGGTACTACGTCAAGCAGCCACTTGGAAAGGCCCCAACCTTGTTTTCATCACCTCCAGCTTTCAGGGGCAGCTGGGTCCGTCCCATCAGCCGTGCAAAATCACAAACTCACACCTGATGAAGTTGCAAGAATGAGCAACGACAAAAAATGATGCGTGAGCCTTTTATATCTCTTGTTCATCCTGGTCCCACCACCACACACTGTCCTAACTTCAAGCCCTTAGACAAGTTACTTAACCTTCCTGGTCCTAGTGTGCCTTGTCAGGAAAAACAGTGCTCCTTGTGGGGAGGGGAAGGGAGGGCGGGGTTGGGACCTCACACACAGCCCCTCGGACTTGCCACTTCCCTCAAGGCCTCAGAAACCACGGTCTGCAGTCTAGACCTTGAGGAAGATGTTTGGCAGGGGGGCGTGATCCCGGATAAACGGAGTGAACAACTAAGACTTCCTTATTCAGCTCAAAACTTCCGAGGAGAAATACAAGCCAGGGGCTTCCCTGCCAGAAGGTGGTGTCATGACCCCAAAATGGTACTAACAGTGGGAAGTGGTTGGGCACAGGTAAGATTTAAGATTTCCCCCCACAAACACCAAACAAAAGAGAAGGTGTCACTTGGTTTGCGGCCTCCCTGGTGCATGTCAGACAAGCTTTCACTCATGGTCTGTCCACTCGAGGGGGCGGAGTCTCCACGGTGGTGGCTGCGCACTGGAATCACCTGGGGAGCTTTTCAGGCCTCGGGTCAATTAAATCAGGATCTCAGGGAGTGGGGGCCCATTTATGTCTCTCCCCAGGCGACAGGGCGGGTCCCAGAGGCCTCCCTCCCCTGGGGCTTGGGGCCCCTTCTCACCCTCACCAGCACCCAGGGCCCATCCTGGCCAGCTCCCAGGGTGCGGGGGTGTTTTGTAATGGAGGCTGGGGACAGAGATCCTCCCCCTTGCAGGCGGGGCTGCTATGTAAGTTCCAGTGTGGGCTCTGTGGCCTCTTCCCTTTCCCTCTCAAGCCCTCCCCCCACCCCCAAATATGAATAGTAGAGAATATTGATACTGAGTTCAGGACTGTCCTTTCCTTTACTCATATGAAAAACGCAGGAATCTTGATTGGATGAAAGGTGTCTGGAGAAATGATTGGCTGCCAGTTGCCACGTGCTCTCTGTGGCTGCCTGTCTCAGCCAATCAGCAGGTAAGCTCCTGAGGCAGAGGGCAGGGGGTGGCTGCCTCCACTGTCTGTCAGTCCGATGGGACAGGTGGCCAAGTTAAGCCAACTCAGTGGCCGCTCATTGAGAGTGCCCCCCAGCGTGCCTTAGACAGAGGCGGGTCTGTGGGAGAGCTGGGGAGGCCGTGGCTCAGGAGCCTGAGGATGATGCTACAGGGAACTTAGGGGAACTCCTGTGAGTGGCCAATGCAGACCCCCACTGTCTCCCGGTCACGGAGCTGGTGAGTAGAAACACTGGCAAAGCACCCTGAGAGCTGGGGGAGGTGGGGAGGGAGGAAGGGAGGAAAGCCGGGCTGCCTGTGTGCACCCACAGGCCTCCCGCAGGTATGTCCCCTAATAAGGGGTCCTAAGGGGCATGCCATCCAGGAGGGACAGGTGGGTGGAGGGCAGCTGTTTCAGGTGAAGGAAGAGAAGGCTCGGGCGTGCGGGGAGGGAACTAGAGGAGGTGGCTCCATGCCGACCCAGACAGAATGTAACCACACTCAGCCCTGGGACACACCAAGTGCAGGCACCTGCGTGAATAGCACTGGAACCCGATCCTGGCTCCCCCACCTCCTGCTGTGTGACCTTGGGTGAGTTACTCAACTTCTCTGAGGCTCCGTTTCCCTGCCCTACCAGGCGGATCGGCGCTGACATGGGTCATCGGGAGAATTTCCTTCCAGGGAGAACATTTAGTCACTGCTCATGCAGTGAGGATGGATCAGGTGGGGCGGAATGATGGCTCTGGCATCACATTTCCCAGGAGTGACGTGGACTCGGCCGGTGTTAGGCTGACTCGGCTCCGGCTAAGGAGCCCATCTCCCTAAGGACTTGAGAGCGGGAACTGGGTGCTGGTCACCACCAGGCTCCAATGTGTGTGTGTGGGGGGGGGGGGGGGGGGAGCTTCAGTGTGCCCCTGGGTGACCCAGGCTACTGATATCCTGGAGGGTCCTCCAGCTTTTCCTTCCAGCTGTGTGTGAGGGAGGGGTCGGGGGCAGGGAGATGTTTGAGGTCACCTCTGTGGCCTGTGGCTGGAGAGGAGGGCACCTGGAGCGCCAGAATCCCAGAGAATACAAAGGCCAGATTATCTCCAGGATAAAAGAGGATTTACGGCGACTCAATTTAAAGTTTCCCTTTTTTCCCTTTTTTGGGGGGCAAAGGCCTGGGAGTAGGGGGTGGGAACTGAAAACAGACAGAGCCTTGTTGGGGACTTGAATTTCCCCCTGTAAACTGAGGCTCTTTGAAAAGGGTTTTTTCTCCTTCGAGCGCCCCTCCCATCCTGTGCCATCAAACAGGATCTTTACATCCAAAACCCCATTTGTATGCCAGTCCGGTCATGGGAGACTCGGGTCCTGGTGGGCCCCAGGCCTGGTGTGTAGCTGTGAATGGTCAGGGGAGCCTTCAGCGGATACAAAAGAAAAGGAAAAAAAAGGCGTGTGGGGAAGCCAGCCAGCATCCCTCCCTGCACCCTCACCCCACAGAGGGCCCTGGGAGCGGGTGGGGGTGGGGTTTGGGGTGGGTTCACCTTTGCCACTGCATTTCGCTGGATCGTGTCTGCGTTGGCTGTCATCAAGGCTCTCAGCCCCCGATAGTCCAGCAAACCATGAGGATCTGGTCATGCCAAGGACCTAGTGCCCAGCATGCCAGTGACCAGGCCTTCGGGGCCGATTGGAGCAAGTGCTTGGCATCCCAGCCAGGAGCCTGGCTGCTCCTAGTGGGGAGACATACGTGTCTGGGGTAACATCGCAGCTGGCAATTCCCAAACTTAACCTAAAGTTCAACCTCTGCTGTCCTGGTGATAACCGGTAACACCCCGCCTCTGCCAAAGGCTCCGGGGTGCCATCCTGCTTTCCTGTTTACTTAGGAGAGGGACCCCTTCTTCACACAAAGGCTTTCTTGGGGGAGGGGGTGGGACCCATCTTCGTCTTCCCTGAAGTCATCCATGGTGGGGAAAGGAACTCATTCCCTGGGCCATGTGTCCATTCTCCTCTGAAAGCAATAGCAATAATTTTTTAAAATATATTTTATTGATGTTTTACAGAGAAGAAGGGAGAGGGATAGAGAGTTAGAAACATCGATGAGAATCACTGATCAGCTGCCTCTTGCACACCCCCTACCAGGGATGTGCCTGCCACCAAGGTACCGTATTTTTCGGACCATAAGACGCTCCAGACCATAAGACGCACCAGTTTTTAGAGAAGGGAAATGAAGAAAAAAAGATTCTGAAACAAATAGTGTCCTAAAATATTTTATGTGCATTAAAACCCAACATCACAGTCATAAACACATGTAATCAACCCTGTAAAGTAAATAGCAGCATTTAGAACCATTTTAGAGCCGGGCAAGCACACAGAGACCACACAGAGCCAGGCAAGTAAAAAAACTTTTTTTTTAAAGTATATGTGTAGGCTATATTTGGACCATAAGACGCAGGGACTTTTTCCCCCCACTTCTGGGGGGAAAAAAGTGCATCTTATGGTCCGAAAAATACGGTACATGCCCTTGACCGGAATCAAACCTGGGACCTTTCTGTCTGCAGGCCAAAATTCTATCCAATGAACCAAACCAGTTTCGGTGATAATTTTTTTTTTAATGCTATTTCGCCTCGGCCAGTGTGGCTCAGTCGGTTGCGCATGGTCCCATGCACCATATATCAGTTACCGGTTGGATTTCTGATCGATGCCCATGCCTGGGGTTTCAGACTCGATCCCCATCAGGGGCCGTGCAGGAGGCAACCCATCGATGTTTCTCTCTCACATGGATGTTTCACTCTTTCCCTCCCTCTTCTTCTCTTGCTAAAACCAATGATATATATGGTTTTATATGTATAAAACCACAGGTAACCTGGTTCTGGCTCCCCCCACTTCCTGCTGTGTGACCTTGGGCGAGTTACTCAACCTCTCTGAGGCTGTTTCCCTGCCATACCATGCGGATCGGCGCTGACAGGGGTTATCGGGGGAATGTGGAGTAACAAATTCGAATGTGGGCACTGTGGCCTTTCCCCTTTCCCTCTCAAGCCCTCTCCCCGCCCCCCAAATATGAATAGTCATCCCTATATGTAAAGCGCTAATTCCCGGCCTCTGTGAGCAAAGCAACCCCGCCTCCTGTGGACCCGGTGGTTTCCAGCTGGTGGATGGTTGGTGGGTGGTTGTTGGGTGGTTGTTCTTCCTCCCAGCGGTTGGCCAGCCCTGCCTCTCACCCCAGGGCTGTGGTCTGGGGAGTGGTTTGACTCGGTGGGAGTCGGAGCTGAGAGACCCTTCTGTGCTAAAAGGGAAAATGAATGGTGTGTTCAGAGCTGCTCACAGTTCACAGGATGAGGAGCAGACGACAACGCTGCTGCTCGGAGCTGGCCGTGTGGCCATCCTGGCCCTGGTCCACGGGACCCCCCCTCCCCCCCATGGCCACAGCGCCTCCAGAAGACCGAGCCTCTGCCCTGGCCTTCTCTGGGCCTCTCCACAGCCCCTTCCCAGAACACGCTGCTCCTGGGCCTGTGCTGTTCTTGGGCTGTGATGAGGCCACTTCTCAACGGGATAAACCTGGCTGTGGACAGAGGAGGGGGGATGTTGGGAAATGTCTGGAACAGCTCCCTGTGGGTCCGAGTTGTGAGGGTTCACCTCTCCGAGGCAGACACAGACAGCTCACCTGAAGGACGAAGCTGCTCTCCTCTCGGGATGAAATGACAGCCCTGGAGCCTTGGGTCCACTCGATGCTTTGTTTCTCTGCACTGGAGGATCGGAAGAGAAAGAATCATAGGCTTCTAAACACCCAACCTAATGGAAAACGGATCCAGTCACCAAAGGGCCGAGGCTGGCTCCAGAGGTCAGCCACCATCAAGGATGGTGCTCGTCTAAGCTGTCAACATGAGCAAAACTCAGGCAGGCTTTTGTGTACAAACTGGTTTTAAAATTTATATGGCAATACAAAGGCTCTAGAACAGCAAAATCAATTTTGAAAAAGGAGAAAGAAGTTGGGAGGTGAACACTACCTGATTTAAAGACTTATTATAAAGGCACAGAAAGAAAGATAACGGGGTCTTGGACATACCCATGGTATGAGCACAAGAGTTCAGACAGATGGATTAGTAAGAGTCCAGCTACAGGCCCACACGGTTATGGGAGGAAGGGAGGGAGGAAGGGGAGGAAGAGGAGAAAGAGAGGAAGGGGAGGGAGGGAGGGAAGGAGGGAGGGAAGAGGGCCAGATACTAACCTTGAAAACTGTGTATATATGGTAGAGGATTAGTCAAGCTTCTTGAATCTTACCTGAGGGGCTCAGCTTGCTGCTGAGGCAGAACTTGGAGCTAGCTCCTATGTTTCCTACTAGGCAGGGAGGAAGGTGAGGAGAGACTCTGTGTCCTTCATCTCCTCTCTCCAGCGTGGCACAGACCCAAGGACCCCACTTCCTCATTCACGGAGGATGCCACCCAGTGAGGCAGGGAATCAGGGCTCCTCTCCCCCGGTTGGTGTTCGGAGCATTTTAACGATGTCTTCAAGAAGACAATGAAGAACCAAAACGTGGCCATCGGACCTCAGTAATTTATAAGAAAAGAAGACCAGGAAACAGCTGGCTAATCTCTGAGGAGAAGCCAAGTGAGTTTAATTCCCAGGGATGGCTGTTTGGAGGGTGCATGGGCCAGGCTGTGACCGTCACTGCTGCCCGATGAGGCTGCGGTGGGCTCCTCCAGCATGGGACGAGGGGGGTCAGGGGACCAGGCGGATGGCAGGGCAAACACAGGAGGGCCTGGCAGTGAGTTTCTAGATGCCAAGATGGGCCTACAGCTCCCATGCCTGGGAGACCTGCGGTGCCCTCATTCTGCCAAAGAATGTGAATGAGACTGAAAAATGCGCTTGGGGGGGAGGGGGGGGAGGGACGATTAAATTTCTTGGCTGAACAATAGATGAAGTGGTTCTGAAATGACGGAGGACAATGAAGATAAACTATCCAAACCCACCTATGAATCCATCAGCCAAGGAAACAGATAGTTCCACGATCCACAATGTTAGCAAGACTAAATATAGCCGAAACCGGTTTGGCTCAGTGGATAGAGCATCAGCATGTGGACTGAAAGGTCCCGGGTTCCATTCCAGTCAAGGGCATGTACCTTGGCTGCAGGCACATCCCCAGTAGGGGGTGTGCAAGAGGCAGCTGATCGATGATTCTCTCTCATCGATCTTTCTCTCTATCCCTCTCTCTTCCTCTCTGTAAAAAATCAATGAAATATATATTTTTTTAAAAAGACTAAATATAAACGTCTCAGAAAGACTACAATGTCATATCTGGAAGGGAGGGAAGGAGAGAGGAAGGAGGGCCAGATGCCAATGTTAAGAACTGTCCGTAGGGCGGAGGATTGGTCAAGGTCCTCCTATCCTACCTGAGGGGCTGATCTCGCTACAGAGGCAGAACTTGAAGCTACATCCTGGCTTTGCCACCACCCAGCTGTGTGACCTGTGTCAGGCCGCCTGACCTCTCTGGGCCTCTGTCTTCTCATGCAAATAAGGCTGTAGAACACAGGTAAGAAGTCGCTCTCAAGGAGGATGCAGATGAGTGACAGGAGTACACATCCCACTCCTAAATGAGTTCTATCTTTTATCTCCCAAGAGAATAGAAGCAGGGACCTTCAATTGCTCAATCAACCACTACATTTTCTGTGCCTCATGCTGTGCCTGGCCACACACAAGTGGAACTGAGGTTGGCCACTTCTCAGTCCACTGTGTGTGCTCCCTACACCCAACTGACACCCAGACTTGGCTGTGGCCCTGCCTGGACTGTGACCTGTCAAAGGAACCCGCATCCAGGTGCCTTAAGCCATTGCACCATTGGCTCTTCTATTAGTGCAGCCCAGCCTTCCGCCAATGACTACAGCGGCCAACATGTCAGCTTTCCAGCTTCCACTGAAAAAAACATGGAAGGTCTAGCAACAGTCAAGAGACACTGAGCCTCGCTGGTCCAGAGGTCCCACGGAGACAGCCAGGCTGTCCCTGCCACAGCCTTCTCTCTCGTGCCCTCCTGACCTTCACTCTTTCCCGTGGCCTGCCTGACGGTTGCAGCCAGCGGTGTTTTCAGAATCAGTGGAGCCCCAAAGTGGAGCATGACTCAGGGAGACCAAATGCTGATGACTCACCTGCCTGGCGCGCTCTCTGAGGAGTCTGTGCAGCTCTGACGCTTAAACCAGTTGTCTCAACCGTGTTCGCACCTGGGTCAGACCCAATGCCTCCCCCACAGCCAATATGCTATGCCACCACCTTTACAGTCCTGAAATTAAATTAGAATTACCCCCTTACGCACTAAAAATCAGTATTTGGCCCTAATGGGAACATAAAGGAGAAATAAAAGAAGCTTATGATGGTATCACATGTGTATCATTACATCAAGGTGTGGTGCAGTGATGTCAGCAGCCAGTGTGAAGTAGCCAGATGCTCACGTGCCCAGATAGAAGCATGGGGAACCTGGCCGTAGCCAGTGCAAACTGATAGGGGTGTGTGATTTCGGTAACTTTGCCATCAGGGATGTGATTTTTTCCAAAAGACAGACAAGTCTGGGTAAAGTCGGGAACAAAGCAAAATCCATTCTTTCCTTGATTTCCACAACAGTGGCATTCCCGGCAAACGCCACGCACTTGAAAACATGCGGCAAATGTTTTGAGTGAAATCAAGTTCCATTTAAGACTCAGCCCGGCTGGTGTGGCTCGGTGGTTGAGCACCACAATGGGATTCCAAGTCAGGGCACATACCTGAGTTTCGGCTCCTTTCTCAGTGGGGGTCGTGCAAGAAGCAGCCAATCAATGACTCTTTTTCATCCTTGATGTTTCTGTCTCCCTCTCCCTTTCTCTCTCTGAAATGAATAAATAAAAATAAAAAACTCAAATAATTTTGAAGACATGC